TGTATGTCCTGTAAATATATATATATACATATATATATATATACCACGCAGTACTGACCTGGGTTGCATCAACAAACACAAGCTCTTCCATTAAAGGCCTAGCATTCCTTCAGTTAAATGTGTATCGGCCAACAAGACAGAGGATGTGTTGAGGATAACTCTCAGCTACTACCACCCAGATTTTAGCTCAACACCTGTGAAATGGACTGAGCTGCAGCTATTTTTTTGGATGTGCTAATGATGCCAATGATGATTAGCTGTGGCGGCCATCTTGCTTATTTACTTCCTGTGAGTTTAATTTAATTGCAATTTTTTGCTAACAGACAAATAAACACACAGGCTTCATATTGATTGGTTGCTGCCATGACATGGTAGTAATAACATGGTAATAAATTATTAGAGGATCATTTATTTATGCTTCAGGGGAAAAATGAGCAGGAAACTGGAAAAACAAACATTGTTTTACGACATGGGCCAGATGAAAATAAATCATCTTGAGAGGGGAAAAATGGGCTTAAATTTCTCCTTTCAAGCATTTAATTAATTAAAATGTATAGTTCTAAAATTAAAAACTAGATTCAATGTTATATTTTCACGTTAAGCAGCTGGTTTTATTTCACAGTCAAAATTCAGATCAATGTTTTCATAAATTATAAAGCAAATGACTGTTTGTATGTCACAAAAGAATGAAATAATTATTATGCTTTGATTTGATTCTTAAGAAAATTGGTAAAAATGTTGCTAATCGACTTTAAAAACTTTATTAATCAAAGCTTCGACCCATCGGTTCTCTCAGTCCAGGAGATTAACTTTATCTTTGAATAATAATCCTGAAACTTTCCAGGAGCTCATCTGATGGCCAGGATGGCGTCGTAGGACTTGCCGGTCCGGCAGACCTGGACCTYGTGGAATCCGGTCTGGTTGAGCATGTGGGCGTACTCGGAGGGCGAGCGCTCCCGGCCCTCGGCCTGCACCAGCATGTTGAGGGARAACATCTGAGCCGTGACGGGGCCTCGCCTGTTTTCAAACAACATGGCCTCCACCAGCAGGACGCCGCCACCTAGCGGGACCAAAGGTCAGAGCTGAGTCCTGCGGGAACTGAACCCAACTCGCCGGTTCTGTTCCGAAACTCACCAGACTTGGACGCGTCGTGGATCCTCCTCAGCAGGGTCAGGCACGTCTCCTCGGGCCAGTCGTGGACGATTCTGGCCAGCACGTACAGGTCGGCGGGCGGGATCTCGTCTTTGAAGAAATCTCCTGCGTTGAGAGGGTTAGCAACGTGAGCTCACAGGTCCAGAACTGACCTGGTTCTGATCCCACACAGAACGAGGAGGCTCACCGGACTCGAAAGCGACGGCGGTGTCCTCCTGCGAGAAATGCTTCTTGGCCGCCTCCACCACCTCCGGCAGGTCGAAGACCACGACGGAGGACGAGGGGTACGCCTTCGCCACCTCGTGAGCCAGAGCGCCGGTGCAACCTGGACGCCGGTTCAGAGAACACAAACGGTTTACGAGCAGCGGCGGYGGGACGCGGCCGCCAGCGGCTTCTTACCTCCGAGGTCGACTATCCTCTGGAAGCGGGAGAGGTCGAACGCCGTCACCACGTCGTGTCCGTCCAGAACCCATGAGGAGTTCATCAGACCCATGAACTTGATCATCTCCTGCTCCGATCTGCGCGTTCCAGAAAAATACATGAATATTACCCAGTGTGCAACACTCCCACAGATCAGCACCAACCTGTAAATGGCCCGGAAGACGTCTCCGGAGGGAACGCCGAAGGTCTTCTCGTACTGATTCTTGCCCTCCCTGTGAGACACAGAAGGTCTGGTTTGATCAGGTGTTCGGTTCTCCTCAGAGCGTCTGTTTGTTTTCACAGACCTGATGGCGTCCACCATGTTGTTCCAGAGCGGGTAGATGGTTTGGGACTGGTAGATGATCATGTCGTGGAGAGATTTCGCACTTCCCTTGGCCAGGTACAGGTTCGCCACGTCAGTGCTGCTGTACAACGCTGGTTTAACCAACAGAGTCAGACAAGAAGCTGCAGAACAGCCCATAATACATCTGGGGTGGGCAACTGKTGGTCCACACACCAGTGATGTTTGATACTGATACTGAGTAAAATTTGGCTGGCGTCGGCAATACTGATCCGATACTGACACTTTGTGATAACATACAGGTAAATCTTAAAAAGTAGCGTTTTACAAATAACCACTTTATAAATAATACACCACAGAGAAATGTATTTATCAATTTAAAAGTCTTTCTAACCCTTAACCTTTATTTGTTTATCCCGGACGAGCCCCCATTTGTCACAGGCCAATCCATGGCCTGTAACAAAAACGAGGGGAGACAAGGTTAAGGCCAACTAAAATAGTTTTATTTTAAACATAAATCTAAATAAACTCAATATTTTTGTAGATGTGAAAGAACTGAAGTATCAAAGTATCAATATTTTGACTTTAGAATCGATTATAGAGCATATAGTTCTGGTTATTGGTAGTTCCGATATTTCAGTATTGATCTGCACATCACTACCACACACGGCCTGCGAGGGACTTCTGTTTGTACCGTCAATGAAAAAAAATTTTTTTACTTTAAAAAAAGCAGCTCCTTCATTTATTTTTTAAAATAACAAAAAACTTAGTTTGAATTTTATTTTGCATTTCAGAGCCTGTAGGATGTTAAACAAATCAATAAATAACATCTTCCAATGAAGACTGACGTTAGAAGTAAGTTCATCCCCACCCCAGGAAAAATTTTTAAGGCTCGTTAAACAGGTAAACKTCTGAAGGGGTTGACGTGTGGAATGGAGGAAAGATAACTGGACAGATAAAATCAYGTTTCAGATAAAATGGGAGGTGGACAATCTGTTCACAAAAGTTCAAGGCAAACCTGAGTTTTTAATCTGCTTAGAGAGRCTAATATACGTCACTACAACATGTTGCACAAAGCTAAATATGGAGAAGTTTACTGAAGTCACAACTAAATAAACAGCAGAGACTTTTTACCAGAACCAGAACCACACAGGAGGCTAAACTCAAGCTAAAGTCRTTCTAATTCAGCTCATTAAAGTGTTTATTTTATTTATTATTGTTATCTCACCCGTCCGGTCAGTCCGCTCCACCTCCAGAACCTCGATGCCCACCAGAGCATCCAGCAGCCTCTCCATCCCATCCACGCTGGTGCCCAGCTCCTGGGCCACGAACCGGGCGCTGAGGGGCTCCCTGGACCTCAGCAGGAGGTCGAACACGCCCAGCTCACAGGCCGAGAATATCACCTGTGTGAACAGGTGGGACGTGACGTTACACCCCAACAAATACAGAAATTATCGCAGGAGGTTTTTGTAGTCTGACCAAACCGTCTTAGTTGTTAGCCTTAGATTCCGCTAATTTGTTTTGTGTTTTTAGCGGTTTAGTGTTAGCGGCAAAGACACTTGTTGAGCAGATTAGTGGTGAAGCTAATTTTTTAGCATTGCCCTTTGGGGTCTGTTACCAACTCACTCCCACACCCAACTCRTCACATATTGACGCTTTTCCAAGGTTCCCTCTGCGTCTTATTTAGACGCGTCGGGTAACCCCTTCGCGTCAGTTATTGACGCACGAGGCATTTCCGGGTTCCTTCGGCGTCCGTTTGGATGGAAAATATAGGGGTCTTTGAGTTGGGGTCCGTGGTTAACATTAGGGATCAGGGTTCATGGTTAATTTCAGGTACCAGGGTCAGGGACAGGATGTCTAAAGCGAACAAAGGTAATTTTAGGGTTTGAGACGGTCAGTTTTTGTGCATTTTCTACACTTTCTGAAATCATGACTATGGATTCCGCTCCATCTTGTGAATAAGTGACACAGGTGGGGGGGTACCCAACGCGTCAAAACCAGACGCAGAGGGAACCTTGGAAAAGCGTCAATATGTGACGAGTTGGGTGTGAGAATGGGCTGAATAGCTCAACATTTGTAAAATTGACTGAATAAAATTGACTAAGATACTAAATGCTGAAGCTCTCGATTTACCAGTCGGTCTACATTCCTACCATCATCTATGGTCACGAGCTTTGGGTAGTGACCCAAGAACAAGATCACAGATCCAAGCAACTGAAATGAGTTTCCTCTGCAGGGTGTCTGGGCTCTCCCTTAGAGATAGGCTGAGAAGHTCAGTCATCCAGGAGGGACTCAGAGTAGAGCCGCTGCTCCTCCACGTTGACAGGAGCCAGTTGAGGTGGTTCATCTGGTTAGGATGCCTCCTGGACTCCTCCCTGGTGAGGTGTTCTGGACACGTCGCACTGGGAGGAGGCCCAGAGGAAGACCCAGGACACACTGGAGGGACTATGTTTCTCAGCTGGCCTGGGAACACCTTGGGGTTCCCCCAGAGGAGCTGGTCCAAGTGGCTGGAGAGAGGGAGGTCCGGGTCTGCTGCCCCCGAGACCCAACACAGGATAAGAAGAAGAAAACAGACAGACGACTGAATTATCGACAGTTTGTGTTTGCTATGTTTGATTAGTTCGGGCAGCCATCTTGAATAGGGCAGCTGGGTTTGTATTTTTAATGATTCTCTTCTGAAATTCAAATCCATCCACTGGTCAATGAGATATTTTGCTAACAGTTGGACAGGGTTCAATGCATCAATTGATGCAGATGTTTCAGACAGTGCATAGAATCACTCTCAGCTACTACCACAGCAGATTTAGCTCATTATCTGTGAATTACAYGGGTTTTTTTAAAATCTGAGGTTCTTTAAAGGCCACTCAGTGGTTCATGAAATATTTTACTAACAAATACATGATCACCCCCGGGTGGAATATTTGTCCCCCCATGAGCTCTTACATGTTTACCTTCGACACCCTGAAGCCGTTGAAATACTCCAGAAGTTTGAATGGATAGTCCAGCTCGCTTTGGGAGAGATGCTCTGCCATCACTGCTGCTCCCCGGGGATGAGGGTGAAATTATAATAATAATAAAATATAATAAAATTCAGATCGCCCGTGTGGGAAACCGAAATTATATGGGAAGACTCAACAAATCCAGCTGTAAATAAATACAAGGAGAATTTTTAATTATCCGCGGATGGAGCCGCACCAGTGCTGCTGCTCAACGCCGAACCTCGRGTGCAGTTCCGGGTTCAGCCGCAGAAACAGAGGGGGCGCTGTAGGCCGCTACTGACGGGTTTTTTTTTTTTCGTTCCTCCCCGGTCGAGCAAACTCAGCTGCTAATAAACTCATTTATAAACAGAACGATAAATTTATAGCCTCTTGTTTTTTTAAATAGACATCCCTTGTTGCATTCTATGCCAGTTTTCAACGTAGATCATCTCATGTTGAAATGACTGGTTAAATCCCGAAAAATAACGCGATGTGCGACATATCGCGAGATTTGTTAGCTGCCATGTTTGTATTTCAGCTACATGGAACTACAACATGGAACCCTTGTTTTTATATTATTAAAAAAATAATGTCATTCGTAAAAACTTTAAATTGATACAGTTTGTTAAAACTTGACAATTTGCAAACAGCAACAAACTAGTTTTGTTTACAAGTGAAAATAAAAACAAAATATTTTACATTGATATAAAATGTCAAGARTTTTATCTCTGTATTAAAAATGGGATGCTCTGAGTTTCATAACGATACAAACACTACGAATGGATTTTCCAGTGGGGGAAACAAATTTAAAATGAAATAAACGAATTAAAATAGAAATTCTTAACTGTTCCTCGGGACATTAAGGCTACTTTGAAGACATTACTGTAAAAAACAACCTTGTATTTGTTCATTACTTAGTATTTTACCATTTGTTATTGGGATATTTAAATGATAATTGTACGGTCTCAGTCCATAATTACATTTAGCTGCGTTTTAAAAACAAGTTAATGTTCCTGTGTTTTTAGTGACACCTCAAACTTCACGGTCAGTTAATTAATTTACACTGTAGACGAGACCTGGGAAAACTTTTTATAAATTAGAAGCAAATCAACTCCAAACATATTTCATTATTAACCAAACAGGTTTATTATGCAAATTTCTTCCTGACGCTTTTACACAAATACACTCACTCTCTCTCACAGACACACACACAGACACACTCAACACTTACAGACACAACATGGTGAAACTTCGGCATAGCTAACGTTGTTGTTGCACATGCTTTAATAAAACAACAGGTATATTTACAGGATATATCTCTACAAAAAAAAAAATAATAATAATAATAATCAACTAGCAAGATCAGCTCCCAGTCC